TTTAGTGCCAAATATAATTAGTCTGTTTTTAAAAATCAAATTCATTTTCAAAGAACAAAAAGCTATTAAGTTAATCTGATATAATTGTAAAGGATTATGATTCACACTCTAAAAGTGACTTAAAATCAGAACATCTAAATTGATGCGTCTTATTTGAGACAATAAGAATAATGCTGAAACAGTGTAATGAATATTACTTGAATTATAGTTGGATTAAAATTCAACAGAATTGGATGTTTCCACCCTTATGTGTGTATGTCTAGCTGTTGCTCAACTTACCACAATGGTTGGCCTAACCTACTGAAAGATATGCTGAGAATTTAGTCATATTCTTGATTATTTTCAACTAAATGAAATTCCTTTCACTAAAAGGAATTTTTTTGGTAATCTAATTTTTAGTTTACTGTCATTCTTCCATCTTACTTCATGTATAAAAATGCATCTTTACAATCAAGACTAGGGCTAATTAAAAATATTTATACATACCCACAGAAAGTATCATCTTAATTAGCACCATGTATTTTTAAATTTGTAAATTTAAAATTTAAAAGAGTTAAAAAAAATTAATGTGTAAAAACTGGCTTTGAGTAACAAAAGTTTGCTTTATCCAGTACAGCAGAGAGCTCTGACCCTGTTCACAATTTCTGTCTTCACGGCAGCCACCCTCAACCTAACAGTCCTTTCCAGCTATTGTTATATGTGAACTCACAGTCAGCATAACTGTAATTTTGGTGTACTGATGATTACTCTTTAACAGATCATTTTTCATAAATTTTATAAAGCCCATATCTGCTCTGTGAAAGGCAATTTGTCATAAGCATCAAAACATCAAAATGCTGCTAAACCTTTACAATTGTATCCTTGATAATTCCTTTTAGCATGGCTTAACTTTACAAACTTAAGCCACTTAAATATGTGAAAACATTATTGTGATTCATGCCTCAGTATCTTTCACAAAAGTATTGTCTTTCATATTTTAAGTCTATATATTTAATCATATTTGTTTTTATATAATAGTTTTGACTTTAGCTTTATTGATTTTCCTTTTACCTGGTATATATTAGTATTTTACACTTTAAATACATTTAAAATATTTTCCCTTTAAACCATCTCAACAAATGACAGTGTTATCTTGAGAGAGAAGTGTAGCTATAAATATCTCCCAGTTCATTTTGTATCTTTAAAAACTGGTAGTCAAACCATTCTCCACATCATATGGTATGATAGTGGAAAGGATGTGAAACATGCCTGCACTTATGCTTCTATCAAAATTTGTGTCTAATGAACGTCAAAGAAAGAAAGGAGAGAAGTGTCATCAAAAAACTGCAGTGATCATTTTTTCTCTTAAATAAGAAGCATAGTGAGATTAACTGTGGTCGATTAGTCTTAAAGTTAAATATATACAATATTATGCCCAGTGGACTATTAAAACCAAAGTAAACTCTAATTTCTTCAAACATTAGGAAATGAATCCAACATTTTTAAGTATTTATTTCACCAACTTCCATATATACTTTTGAATTTATACTGTCCCAGGTATAATAATTGTTGATGTAACTATTTTAACATGCTGGGATGAAATGACTCTTTCTACCTTCTAAATAAATGCTGGTAAGTTAGAGCTTCTCAACTTACCTTTTATATACCATCAGGGTAATTGAAATTCCATGTGACAGATGTTCTAAATTCTTACATCCTTTATCTGTGTGCATTTTTTCTGGTTACTCCTCATCACAGTCTAAGCTACAACAGATTTGACTCCTCATCTTTCACTCGTTGCTACTTAAGTTCAATCAAATAGAATCTTAGGGTTTTTGTTTGTTTTTTCAAGACAGGGTTTCTCAGTGTAGTTTTGATGCCTGTCCTGGATCTCACTCTGTAGACCAGGCTGGCCTCAAACTCACAGAGATCCGCCTAGCTCTGTTTCCCAAGTGCTGGGATTAAAGGCGTGCGCCACCACGGCTTGGCCAAATAGAATCTTAAAACAGAAATTTAATACTGGAAATCTTTGTTTGTAGTTTCCATTTTAAAAACCTTTAACTTTCACATTTAGTAGCCAGGGTTGCATAAAAAACTTATATTTCCCTCTACTAGTTGTATAATTGGCAACAAGAAGTACTTAAAGAAGGTCTTCAATGCATAAACATGTGAGAGTGTTTTAGGCTCTACACAAAATATGGAATCAGTTCATGAAGACGTTTCCTTTGTGGTTGGATTGGAAAGAGTAGAGAATTGATACCACCAGAAAGGATGCATGCAATTGTTTGTGCTCCCACATACTATATGAAGGACTCATGCCTCCACGAGTGGAGAGATACAGCTTCTTAAACTTGTTTTTTAAAGAATTCTCAGTAAGCTTCTAAGAAAACTAAACCAAAAGGCTAAATAAATCATCTCTTGATTATGCAAACTAATTCATAGGGTTTCAAATTATTTACAGATAAAGCCCAGTAGAGACCTAGATTTAGCGCCCTCCTTCCCTTGATTAGCTCAGAATGTGGCCATAGTTCACATGGACCTCCTTAAGATGTGTATACAGAGGTCAATACAATTGGCTTTGACAAAGACTTGTGCATGTGAGTGAGACGGGGAAGGTGTGGACCCCCGACTCCAGGCCGCTTACATGCACGCTGAGCAGCACAGAAGCTCAACTCCAGGATTCGGCTCTCCTTTTCTTCTAGTCACACTTACTAGGACAATCCATGGAGGAGCCAGAGTTACTGAGTTAGATCCAGTTTTGTGAAGAAAAATACTAACCTGGCCCACATGATCCAAAATTGATTACACTTTTGTCTCTATGTACTTATCAAGGACCTATTTCTAGTGCCACAGCTTGATTAAACAAGAGGTGACAATATTCGCATTGATTTATGTATATATAAGAGCAATGATATGATTCTTAGCAGTGCATTTTTCCTTTTATTGTAGTGGGTTCGTTCAAATAATGAGACTACATTGACCCAGGAGAATGTATAGGAAATGAGATTCGATAATGAATGCCAATAGATGGGCTGTATACACTTGCAAGTCTCTGAGCAATGATAGGATTTTTCACACTACTGACACATTTTATTGCATAATCCCAGAGAATGTCTGAATACTTCATTAAAATATATAATGAGTGAAGGAGACAGACTGTCCAAGGTTGGATCTCAGTGTGAAAGCATTTTTAATAGTATAAATCAGAATCATCTTTATATCAGATGTTTTTTCACTACTATGTCAAATTAAATGCACTGTTCGAGAATGGTATTATTGAAATTGGCTATTAGGAGTGGTGACTGAGAAATCAAAGAGCAATTGTTTCCTGATAATATTCAGATCTTTTGAGTTTCTAATTATCTCCTTTACAGGCATTACTCAGGGATTTCTAATTGAATTCATGACCTTGAACCAGATTCACATCCTGAAGCTCTCTAGGTTTACTAATAAATCCTGTGTTTTATTCTTATATTTATTTTTCCTTCATAGTCTTTTCTTGGTACTCTAAAGAAAGATGCTTTAAAAAGTTAATTAGCTAATGCAAAATTCTCCCCCATTATCATCATATTTAATTAACATTTTCTTATTTATCCTTCCGTCTTAGCAAGGACTACAAGTATTTCTGGATGTCAGCTTCTTATCTATTACCTTCAGCTTTTAAACATAACAAAGTGCCTGGACTCTTTATTTAGTGTTTCAGGTTTCTTTTCTTTCAGGCCACAAAAGATAAATTCACCCAGATGCACTGACAGCATCAAGGCTTCAAAAATGCATCCATCCATTACCGTATAAGCAGTTCAGTCACTTTAATCCATCTTTTGCCCATCACTCAAATGTCAAACTCACATGTTTGAAGTGTACTTTTCTGAGCATGCAGTTTCAAACTAAGAGCCCTGTGTCTACTCACTTACAAACACGCAAGGAATAAGAATTATTTTGATCAACAAGATAACAACTATCAAGTGTTCTTACCTAGTAATGGATGATAAATATACTATGACATTATTCTGATGACCATTCAGTACTGACTAGTGATGACAAGTTCCATCCATCCGCAGTGATTGGAAACCCCTCATGGTTTCCAGTCTACCTTCACATCTTTGTGTGTTTTTATATTTTAATATAAGCTTCCATTTGTATCCCTTTCAAAATGCTGGTAACTCAATTGTATATATCATTTTTGTCTTACTTGTTTAATTTATTCTAATCAAAGTTTCCTTGTAATGTTAAGGCACCAGAGCTCATAGTTTTGAGTTTATTAATGTTTAGGATATAACTAAGCAAAAAGAAACATACACACCAAGAGATCAGAATTTCTAGAGAGTATGGATAGTTTTTGGCAGTCAAAAATATCTCACTTGAAGAAAGTGGATTTTGATATCTATACAGAGTCTAGGACTTGAGTAGGAATTCCTTTGTCCTAACATTAATAAGAGAATGTTAAAAAAGAAGGAACAGGGACTCAGAGGTTGTTTTGCAAATTATGTCATTTTCCAAGTTTTCTCTTTTAAAGGAATTGTGAGAGACTGCATATAGAAGTCTAAGTTGATGTATACCATCATCACTTCCCAGAGAGTAATAGAACACATTAAATTAGTGTTTCATAGCATTGGTTTATACTTGGGGACTCCCTGTTGCAAAATCAACCACAGATTCTGTTAATAATGTTTTCTGCCAAGGAATTTGTAGTCTCCTGTCTCCTCATGTGGAGTTCTGCTTCCGTCATGGTTCAAGAATTCCTGAAGGTCTGCTCTAGAATCACTATTATCAATAGTAATGTGAGCAGTGTAACTAAGGTATATTTTATAGCTTAAAAACAATAAATTTCTTTATCATATGCCACAAACCACAGTTATAAGCTTTTGCAATTGTAGTTCCATATATCAAATCTGATTTCAATGTCAACTGTCCAAAAATGTCTATGTGACAGAATTTTTCTTTTAAATGAATAATAAATATATAGCTGAACATGTCTCTGTTTATCATAGAAAGAAAAGAAATTTGGCCATGGTACTCACATGGCACTGTGCGGAGGTAGAGGTTGTCACGGATGATTTGCTGAAGTTCGTGGTCAACAGAACCCTTCTGAAATCTTAAGTTGAGGTAGTGACGAAGATCCTTATCAACAATTCCTCCTAAAATAATAAAGTTTCTTTGTAAGAGATTTAGAAAATATAATAAGGATACAACTTGATTATATTATAAATACATTCATAACATATAAAGGATGAATAATTTCAAGTTACTCTTTTGATGTCTAAGGCATTTATCACTAATATAACAATTAGTCTGCTTTCCATGTCTATACTAAGTAATTTGTAAGTATCTTTATTTTTCATTTAAAGTATAGTTTTTATATTGGTAGGGTATTAGTTACTACTGAACTATATATAATTGGATTATCCATAATGTATCTCATTGCAGGGCTAAAAGGTCATTGATTTCTTCATTTCCATTGCTTTTTCCCCTAAACACGACTAATCACCATTTTAATTCTATTTCTATGAACTTCATTGCTACAGGCATCACCTGTAAGAGGGATCATATAATATTTACCCTTTGTTACTGGCTTATTTACTCAGCAAATGTCTTCTGAGTTTGAAAAGACTTTTAAGTTATTTAAGGTTACTATGGAAATAAAGTGATATAAAAAGTTAAAAGAAAAATGGCTACATAAATATTGATGACTTTCTCCCCTCCATGAAATAAATCAAAGTGATTTCTATGTTATGTAATATATGTGCTGAAGTTTTAGCTAGAAGTAAAGTTTGAATGGCATTTCTTCTTTTGCCAACAAATAATTTAAATATGTTTGCTATTATAATCTAAAGAAGAATGGGGCTATGGATTTGAAAAGCCACTGATGCAGTTCTATTGAATATTAAGTTTAAATTAATGATAAATTTATTATATTATGAATATTCATTTTAAGATTCTTTCTAGTTCCAAACTGGAAAGAATAAATTAAAAAACAAAATACTGGGGGCTCTTAATATAGTCATCAGCCAAGAAAGTGTACTGTTGGAGATTTTTACTCTTTTTGGGGCCTGCCACCCAGCTCCCATATAAATTACATGGTGGCTTAATCCTTAATTACGAATGCCCTGCCTTAGCGTGGCTTAGCTTCTAGCCAGTTTTTCTTAACTTATTCCATCTACCTTTTGCCTCTGGGCTTTTCCCATTCTCTTACTTCTGTAAATCTTACTCTTACTCTGTGGCTTGCTGTGGAGCTGGGCTCACACAAATTCATGCAGGCGCGCGCGTGCGCGCGCACACACACACACACACAAATAAATAAATTGGTTTTTTAAAAAATCCAAAATGCCTACAAATGTAAACAAGAACACTATAAACTCTTGTCTTCTCAAGCAAAAATGTTAAGGCAAATGAAGTGTGCCTGCTGTCCTTGGTTGGCAACTTGACTACAATCCACAACTGACTAAAACCCAAGTGGCTGGGGTACCTCTGAGGGTGATTTTCTTAACTAATCAGTTGACTTGGGAAGACCTACCCTGAATCCAGGTCTTGTGAGGTGGGAAGATCCACCTGAAATGGGCTATACCTTCTGGTGGCAACATATATAAAGGACATGGAAGAAGGAAGCTCTCACTAGACTCACTGGTATTAGACGCTAATTCTTTGGGATTATGAGGTATGAAGAAGACCAGATGACACAGCCAGCCTTGTGGACTGAACAACTTACAGGCTTTTTGGACTTTTTGTGGGGAGACACCCATTCTTGGACTAGCTAGATCACAGCTTGTCAGCTACTATAATAAATCCTCATATACATATATATATATATATATATATATATATAAAATATTTACTTATGCAACATATATTTATATGTATAAATAAACATAATCTATATATAAATACAATATTTAATTTTGTTCTTCTAAAGAGTCTTGACTAATACATGAAGGAAAAAAGCAACAATACAGCTAAAGGTAATGGAAAACTATGGTAGATTCCAAACATAAACTTTTCCAATTCTTTAGACTCTCAGAGTTCACAAATATGTACACCAGCTTTGTCATGTGAAATGGCATGACATGGGAGTGCAGAAATGCAACACAAACACTTCCCACAAACTTTTCAGCATATTTATTTACATTCACTGCAAAATGTCTGAGGTTCTTCAAGTGTATCACTTCAATTGCCTCCTTGTCTGTGGGAATACTCACAGTAACATGCCACGGAAAATAACTGTAACTCATTCAACTATCACAATTCAGACTCCCAAATAATGTTTCTTACATATTTGAGGATGTGGCCTCTTAATCTATTTTTTTTAGGCAGGCCAATGTGATAACGGAAAATAAAGGAAACACTATTTATTGGGTGCACACAAATATTTCACTCAGAATGACTATACATAAAATTTTCTAAATTCAAAACTATTCTCTCAGCCAAAGCAAAGCAGTCAAGCAACAAATCATCAAAGACCCACGGTTGACATCTTTATCCTGGTTTGGTTTCTGTTCTGAGATAAACATGACCAAAATCACACTTTCAGCTTACACTCTCATGTCATAAGGAAGCTATGGCAGGAATCTCAAAGTGGGGACAGAAGCACAGACCATGGAAGAAGAGGGACTCCTGCCTTCCTTCTCTACCTTGCTTAGCAAATTTTCTCATACAGCCAGAGCCATCTACCTAGGGAGGCAAAGCTCACACTAGGATGGGTCCTCAGGCATCAGTTAATAATAAAGAAACTACCCTATAAACATGCCAGACACTCTGATAAAGGCGATTCTTTGGTTGAGTTCCCTTTTCTGAAGTACTTGGTTTGTTTCAAGTTGATCAAGACTAACCAATATGATCTTCAAGCACGCTGTGTCCATGTGTCTTAAATTCACTGGCAGCCCGTGAAGTGGTAACCCAGGCATTGTAAAACACTCTTTTCCTGCCTTGTGCCTGCCAGCCCCCATCAGCAGAACACCTTCCCCTTTGATAACTCATCACAGCTACTGAGCAAGCATCACGCCCGTCGGCTGTCCTCAGCTGTTGGTGCTGCCTGCATTTTAGTCTGTAGGTCTTTCCTCAACTGCACCCTCTCTCCCTTCTTTTCATCTTTCTGCCTCATATGTGGGACATAACAAGTGATGAAAAGCTTTCTGGTAGCCCAAGAAAATGCCAGTTACAGAATACCAGCTGTAGTTTTCTCATAAATGTAAGCCAGAATCATTCCCCTAATGTAGTATGAGTAAAATCACATTTTATACTCTATATCACTTTGTCCCTGAAAATATATTACCATTTCTTCCACCACAAATATATAACATTTACCATCTTGAAAATTTATATCCCTTAGAAAATAATTACTAAATGTTTATCAACTCATTTTAATGGCTAGTGATATTTTCCCTCCAAGGAAAAACTTGAAGAAGCTTTTAAGAATAAGTGTTAAATTTCCTTCACTAATTATATGACTTGCTACAAATTACAGATGATCCTATTTGTTTTGGAAGTATTTTTTTTGTTCCATGTATTCTCCATCCTTGATTATCTGTCACAATTTACCAGAGCATCTCTTAGTCAAAACAACTTTATTTTTTTCAGTGTTCGTATTGTGGCAAATGAAAATAGTTTACCTATCCAACTTCCTTTCTCCTGTTAATTCTTGGTAAGATAATTTTGATTTGTTTTTGGATCTAAGCATGCTCATGCTCATGGTCAGCCACCAGTCACATGGATCTAAAACAGCCATTCCATCCAGAGCCTTACTCCTAACTGTCCTTGTAGCTTTTAGCAGCTAGTTCTAGCCATTGAGATCATACAAAATGAGAAAGTTATTTATTCCTTGAACTTGACATGGTATCTGAGATACAACAGCTGTGCTCAGACCAGGAAGCAGCAAACACAAGCAAGAAGCTCACACAAAGGTTAGGGTAGAAGTTAGAAACAGCTGGATATCTGATGGCTTTATTAGGCAGCTAAAAGTAGTATGATCAACTATATGAGCAAAGGTTTCTTGTTTTATGAGATAAGATAAATATTTTAGAGATAATGGGGTACATAGTCTTTTATAACTAACACAGTTGAAAAGCTTTATAATAAAATCTCACTTGGTAAATACATTTATAAATGGTCTATGTATATGGACTATTTATACACCTATGTAGCAATTGATAAGAGATTTCAAGTGAGAGGGATTAGGTAACAGACATTGAAGGATGCCTGAGCTAAAAATAGAGCCTAAAGTCTAAGATGATCTCAGTTATTTTTTTTAAGTTTTTATTTTATTTCTTGCAGTGGTGTGTGTCGAATGCACACACCAGTCCTTACAAGTTAAAAATTTAAAGCAAGCTAACACAAAAATTTACAGCGTTAAAGCAACATTGCTTTTTATCAAAATAGGAAATCTCCCTTCTTATTTGTCTTCATGATCGCCCTGGTCTTCTTTGTTAGTGTTTGTAGAACGTTTGTTCTCTTTCTTGTTGGTCTTTAGGTCCAGGGTGTTTATGTCAAGCAGAGCACTGTCCAGGTCTTCATCTCTTGTCTGCTTTAGCATCCAGTGGGTCTTACTATATTTCAATACCACTACAATACTTATCGGACAACACTTTCATTTTCTTCACATAAAAAGTGTTGCAAACTTAAATACCAACAAGACTTAGTGAAAGAGAAGGATGGGGTGTATCTCATGCATGTGTAGACTGTGGGCCACACTGTGAACTCTGTAAAGATCCAACTTTTTAGTCTAAAGCTGTAAAGTCCATTCTCAAGGGGACCTCAGGCAATCTTTTGAACTTAACATCAAAGTGTAACTTAAGAAGAATGTTAAGGAACGAACATAGTTTAGATTCTTTCTATTGCAAATGAGAGAAGTGATACAGAGATTGTGTGAAACAGAATGAGTGAACTATAAGGAAGCAAAACTCAGGAACTATCTAAGAAATCTCAAAATGTTAGTCATTGAAACTGTGCATCGAGAGTAAAGCTCTTGTGTTTCTTAGGAGTGTCCCTGGTAGAGGATGACAGCTTCATCCCTTTGATTATTTGAACAGCCAGATGAAGGAAGGAAAGTAAAATGTTGCTTGGATAAAATGGGTGAATACTTGGTATATTCCTTAAGAAAATGTGTCAGTCAGTTCTACTTCTATTACTAAAACCAGATACTCTTTCA